TGTGTTCAGTTTCCTTAGGATTAGTTACTTGAAGGTTTGGCTCTGAAGCAGCATGTTCTTTTTCCTCTGTTACTCAATCCTTTGCTAAATAGCATACATTTTTGTGTCACAATAAAATAAATCACAATTTTAATTTCTTCATGATATTGTATCACTTATTTCTATCCATCAGTGAACCCCAGTATTTCTTCTTTTTCTTTCTTTTTATAACTCCCTGGGCTGGTTCCTCACTTATCACCTTCCCGCTGCCACTCTCTGCCCAGATTCTTCTACCTGGGTAATCTGTGTGATTATGTTTTTCCCTCTCCAGGTGACAAGGGCCTCTTCCCATCTCCAGGTCTTTCCTATGATGGGAGAACAGCAGCAGGACTAGCTTCATGGCATAGCAAGCCAGTACCAGCAGTTCCATATGGGTGCCAGTTTGTCTCAGCTGATGGGTGGGGAAAGCAGTGGGGCATGGCCAAAGGCCTTGTGCACTTGTACTCATGTAGAAAATCCAGAAGTTGCTGGCTTCTGGCTTTGATTGGCCCCATTCTTACTGTTGTGGTCATTTGGAGAGTGAGCCAGTAGATGGAAAATATTTCTATTTCTCCTTCTTTCTCTGAAACTCTTTCTTTTTTAAATTTTGAGTTTTCTGGTATAATTCCGTAGCATCTGGGATTCCCTCCACCCCCTAGATTCCTACTACCTAACTGATGCTCCCCATATTGTTACAATAGTATAGTCCTTATGGAGTTATAACCCCATCAGTCTGTTATTTAAGTGTGCCCAACATTGCTGGTACAGACAATGTCAGACAGTCCAGCATCCCACTGTATTGATATGTCCAAAGATTCATTGTGAGTTCATTCTTGATTTGGAAGTATGAATGCATATTGCATTGTATCTTCACATCTGGACATGGTAGTCTCTATTACTCCAGAACTATACATTGCCTTAAATGAGAAGTCACAAAACAAGGTCAACAATCAGAATGACGTTAAAATAAAAAAAAATAAAAAAAAAGAGAGAGAGAGAGAAAAGAAAACACAGCACCATGGATTTGAAGATATGTGCAACTGAATAACCAATACATGGGTGACAAAAAGAAAATATGAAACCCTCTTGGGTAAAATGATGCCACCATGTGCTCTGTGAACCAGCAATAAATTTGACAAGAGAAAAGAAACCATTTGGAAGGAATGAAAAATATAAAAATACATGGGATGCAGCAAAAACAGTATAGAGGGGTTATTGAATTTAAAATTTGCATGATAGTTTTCTTATGTTTGAGAGAATATATGGTATTTATGCTTTTGGGATTGACTTTCACTGAGCATAATGGGCTCTAGTTGGGATCATCTAGTTGCAAATGGTATGGTTTCATTCTTGTTAATGGCTGAGTAATATTCCATGGAGTAGATGTACCACAGTTTCTTTAACCACTGCTCTTTGGACAGGCATCTGGATTGTTTCCATGTCTTAGCTAATGTAGATTGTGCTGCCATAAATATAGAATTACATATCCGCTTTTCATATCATTTTTTTATTTCCTTTGGTATATTCCTAGGTGCTGGATAGCTGAGTCATATGACAGGTTTATTTGCAATTCTGTAAGCACTCTCTATGTTGATTTCCATAGTAGATGTATTTTCTAACCTGCACTCCCACTAGCAGTGAAGGAGAATACCTTCTTCCCTATTTTTTATCCCACAGGTATTGCTAGTAGAGTTCTGAATGTAGGCCAACCTCACTGAAGTTAGATGGACCCTCAGTGTGGTTTTCATTTATATCTCCCTGATGCCTAGGGAGCTTGAGCATCTTTTCATATGTCTATTAGCCATTTGAACCTGTTCTTTAAAAAAAAAAGTCTGTTCATTTCCTTTGCCCATTTTTCACAAGATGATGATGATGATGATTTTATTGTTGTTGTTACTGTCCCTGAGTTTCTGAAGGTCTTTGTAAATCCTTGATGTTAGTCCTGTATCACTTGTGAAGTAAGCAAAAATTTTCTTCTGTTCTGTTGCTTGCTTGTTCACTTTAGTAGTTTATTTCCTCCCTTGTTTTGAGTACTTCTTTTTTCGACGTATCTTGGGATTGCTTTGCTGTTTTCTAGTTCCTGCAACTGTAAGGTTAGCTCATTTACTTCAAGCTTTTCCAGTTTCTTAACTTAAGCATTGATTAAGAAGAACTTTTAACAGTGCCTTGATTATGCCCCGTAAGTTTTGATATATTGTGCTGATACTTCATTTGTTTCAAGCAACTTTTAAATTTCCCTTTTGATTTCCTCTCTAATCCATTGCTTATTTAATAATGTATTATTCAGTCTCCATGTGTTTGTAAGTCTTCCTGGGAGTTTTGACTTCTTGGTCTCTAGCTTCACTCCATGATGGTGTGAGACGATGTTTTGTATAATCTTAATTAGAGTAAATGAGCTTAGTTGATATCTACTGAACTTTTCATCCTGTAGACAGTGAACACTTTTTTCATCAGTAGATGCTAATTTCTCCAGAATTGATCATGTTTTAGGCTACAAAACAAGTCCCAGTATTCCCTCTGTGTAGATTTGTGTTGGCTTATTTCTCTTCATTGTACGTGTAACTCAGCACTGCCTGAAAAAGTAGGTGTTGGAAAAATATTTTTGATTTCTTAAACTCTCTTCCAAGATGATTTGCATCCCCAGTCACATACAAGAAATTTTTCACATGAAAAGAAATAGTTATTACTTACCTTCATTTCTAAACAGCATTTCTGAAATGTGGGTTAAGTTACATAGATAACCATTTTTTTTCATGTTGATAGTTACAAAACAGCATGCCTATTTGAACTCAAGTTTACTTGAAGAAAAATTTGTCATTGCTTTGGTAACATTTGTGATGTATCTGCACATACATTCTCCTCAATTTGTGTATTTGAGTTCAGTTGAAAGGGCTTAAAAATGAACTCTGTGTAAAATTATTTGAACACTGATACACAAGCAATATAATATAAACATTTGTGTCAAAATTTGTATCATGGAAAGAAAATATGGCATTTTAATATTTTCTTTACAGTTAAATATGGTAGGTAACATTGCAAGAGAAAAGGTGAAACATAATGGAGTGTATTAGCTGAATGCCAGTTATAAATGTACCTTGAGAATTGGGTGTAAGGTCTTTTTTGAACAATGGAGCATAGAGGTCTTTTAAAATGTAGCCAAATGTAAAGTACAATCCACATATGCATTTAGTTGCATTTAGTGTAGCTCTCAGAATAATTTTCTTTTATCCTTTTACTTTTCTTTACCATGCTTTTTTGTTGTTAGTGTTAAACATTGCTTGCTTTTAAAAAAATAGAAATGTAATCATTTTGTTTATGTTAAAGCCTAATTTTCTATTAACAACAAAAAAAGATTATAGGAAATTACCGTATGGATTTTTGCAAAATTTAGTAAACTCCTCATAATATATTCTTTCCAAATAAAACACTGAATATCCAATATCCTTGTGCCTGAATTTGAGTTGCAGTTTTGACCTCATTCTAGCTTCCTGACAACAAACACACTTGGAGAAAGCAGATGAAGGCAGTGGTGGTCAGGCCCCTGCCACTGCAACAACAAGTAAACAAATAAAATTAATTTTCAAAAATCCAACTATAACCTTTCCCTAAAATAGATGATAGCGAACTTCCACCACCAACAACAACAAAAGGAAGGAAAAGGTCTTCCAGAGTGCAGCAGTTCTACTCTCTTAGACTGTGCTCTGCTATCTCTGAGTTCCTTTCTGTGCAGAATTATTTAAGCAATGGAATCATTTTTAATACTTTGAAGAGTGGATCTGGATTGCCACACAATGTTTTCTCAAAACAAAATTACCTGTGAACAAAATAAAAGGAAATCTAAAGAAGTCTTCATAGGATTAGGGAAAATTGGACATTTGTTTTACACCTCACAGAGGAAGAAGGATATCAATTAACATATTCCAACTTTTATATAACTAGATGACTTCGCTTGTGCCTTGAGTATGGTGTCAGACATGTGGTCTATAAGGCATTCAGTTATTATGAATTTTCAATATTAGTGCATCTGCTAGGAAACTGAAAATTACAAGCAGGCTTTATGACTTCTCGGCCTTTTTGGCTAAGCTCAAGTGCAGATAAAATGTTGGTGAACATATGGAGGCTAAATGCTGCTATTAATCTGCCAGTTGTTGGTTCAGTTTGTTTTTCATTTTATACATATAACCTCCTGTTGACTCTCACTGAAAGAGAAGACAAAATTATTTCCTTGATTATCATCTTGATATAAAAAGCTGCCTTCCACATTATATGCCCTGTTGCAGGTTTTCTATAGCTTCTCTGATGAAGGACCCAAGTTATCCTCACTTGGGGAAAGCAAAAGAGAAAGACATGACAAAGTCGTCACTTAAAAAAAAAAATCAAATATATTGTAAACTCCCAGAATTCACTTTGCTAGTCAGAAATTTGTAAATGTCTGCTATCAAAGGTGATCTTTTATCTATCATTCTAACAGCAGATTTCAAACCACCTTTGAATGCATTTTTCAAATATTGTTTTTACACTCTGCTAAGCATCAGTTTATGTAAGTAAGGCAATTTCCAGTTAAGTTTAACAAATAATATGATTTACTATCCTGGAAAATTCAGTTGTATGGCACAGCACGTATCTCTCAGGGTTAGATTTATCAATCCGATTTTCTTGACCATATCATACTATCCAATAAACACTACATATCTGCAAAGTTTGAACTCAAATGTGGACACAAAATCAATAGTCATTTCATTATTGAATATAAACTTCCATGGGATCTTTAAAATAAGGGACAATATTTTTTATTTCTTCCTATTGATAGCAAACACTTTTAGATATCAAGAATCTATACTCATTAAAGTTATCTCAAGATTATTTGCATAAATTATCTTAAATGAGGTTTTTCACTGCAATGATAAAAGTAATAAAAGCTTAAAAAGTTCTTTTTCTAAACACTTAGTTTTTAACTTCCAAGATCCTCCAGGTGCTAATTCTAATATGCTTTGCTTTCCATTTCATGAATTTGCATGTCATCATTGTGCAGGGGCCGTGCCAATCTTCTCGGTATTTTTCCATTTTTAGTGTATGTGCTGCCAGAACAAGCATTGTATTCCATTTCTTTAGTCATCAGTTGATGGGTATCTATGTGATTCCATATAATAGATATTGTGAATTGAACTGGAAGAAACATAGGGGTAAAAGTAACACTTCCCTATGCTGAATTAATTACTTTTGCTTATATTCCCAGGAGTGTGATGACTGGGTCATTGCTACATGTATTTTTAGATTTGTGATCCATCTCCTTACTGTCTTCCATAATCATTGTACTGGTTTACATCCCCACCAACAGTGCATTAGGCTATTTCTTTTTCTCTACAGCCTCACCAGCATTTGTTCTGTATTGATTTTTGAATAATGATCATACACATTGTGGTGAGGTAAAGCTGCACTGTGTTTCTTATTGGTATTGCCCTCATGGCTAGTGACCCTGAACAAATACATCAACCTTTAATATGTTATGTTCATAGCTTTTGTTCATTTGTTGTTTTGCTGTTGAGTTTTTTGAGCTCATTATATATTCTGGATGTTAAAACTCTATCAGATTGATAATTTGCTAGTATTTTTCCCAATTAATTATTGGCCTTTACACTCTGTTCAGTGTTTCCCTTACTGTTCACAAGTTTCTTGCTTGATGTAATCCCACATGTCTATTTTTGCTTTATTTGCCTGTGCTTTCTGGGGTCTTACTCGATAAGTATTCTCTTTAGCAATGCCTTACAAAGTTTTCATATACCAAGTTGATGGTTTCAGGCCTTATGCTTGTGCCCTTATTCAGTTTTGAAATAGTTTGTGTAGTTTTGAATTACCAGTGTGTAACGTGTGAGATCTTGTTCCAAACTTCTATAGAAGTCCAGTTTTTCACAACACCACTTTTCAAGAAATTGTCCTGTATCCATGATGTGATTTTAATCTCACTTGTCAAAGTTTAGTTGGTTATTTATGAAACAATTTCTGAGGATAATATTTTGTCATATTGTTCCATTTGTCTATTTTTTACATACTGCTAGGTTGCTTCGTTTTTTTCAGCTGTGTAGACTATAGAATAAACATACCTGTGCAAAAGCAAGGCTATGTATGGTGGATCCACAGCTGAAGTATTTCCACTAAGATCTAGAACTAGATAATGATGCCCACTTTCATCATTGCTATTCAGGACAGTTCCTGAAACTATAGTCAGAGTCCATAGGCAAATACACACACACATGCACACACATAAAATAAAATAATAGAATAGAATAGAATAGAATAGAATAGAATAGAATAGAATAGAATAGAATAGAATAGAATAAAAGACATACAACTGGAAAAGAGGTAAAATTGTCCCTGCTTACAGATGACGTGGCCCTTCATATAGGAGAAACAAAAGACTCCATTAAGACTACTGGAACTCATCAGAGAAATAGGTAAAGTTGCAGAATATAAAATAAGAACACACACAAAATATCAATAACACTCATATACGCTAGCAATGCTTGAGCTAAAAAATAACTTGTAAGATCTGTCCAATTCAGAATAAATATAGAGGTTTAACTATCATGGGGTAATTTTTGCCAAGGGTATGAAAGAACTCTATAATGTAAAGTGTAACACAATAAGGAACAGAAAACATAGATAAAAAGGAAGAATTTTCATGTCCATGTATGAAAACAGTTAGTATTATCAACATGCTCCTACAATGCTAACCAAGCAGATGCAATGCAATCCCAATCAAAATGCCAAGGACACTCTTCTCAGATCTAGAAAAGAATGTCCTAAAATCCATAGGTTCAGGCTGGCATTATGGTAATAGCCAGTGAACATTGTTTCATATTTGTGCTAGTTTGTGTTTTACTTCCAGTTACAATCCAGCTCTCTACCAATGATCTAGTAAAAGTAGCAGAAAATATCCCAGGTATTTTGACCAGTGCTATCCAAATGGAGGTATCTTCTCCTAACTTTGGCATGCTTATTACTAGCAGTGTGGCCAAAAGTGAAGTAAACCAACTGAGAGAAGATTGTTCTCTCTCTCACTCTTTCCTGATTTCTCTCCCGTCTCTGTAACTGAATTTCAAAATAAATAGATGTATTATAAATAAAACAAACAAAAAACCTCACATGGAAAGACAAGAGACCACATTCAGCTCCCTATGTGTGGCCTCGGAATGCAGTAGAGGACAGTCCAAAAACTTGAGATCCTGCATCCACTTGGGAGACCCAGAAGAAGCTCCTTCCTCCTGGCTTTGTATCAGCTCAGCTTTGGCTGTTGTGTCTACCAGGGAAGTGAACCAACAGATGGAAGATCATTCCTTCCTTTTCTCTGTAAATCTGACTTTCCAACATCAATAAATAAATCTTTTAAAGAGGTTGAAGCATCATAAATACTAGATTTCAAGACCTATATCTTTTTTTTTTTTTATCCTAGCCTCCTGCTGTTGTGTACTCTGTGAGGCAGCAGGCAAAATCTCACGCACTTGGGTCCCTGCCACACATATGGTAGACTCAGATGGAGCTCAAAGCACTCTGTTAATCCTGGTCCAAATTTGGCTGTTGTGTCATTTGAAAAGTGAACCAGTAGATGAAAAAATCAGTCTGTCTCTGTCTCTCTTTTTTTCTTTCTCCTGTCTCCCTCCCCCCTTTTGCATTTTAAACAAAGATTAAAAATAAATATTAAAAAAACAGTTTTCAAAAGTTTATGCTTCTAAACACTAACACTTTTTCAAAGTTTCTGTACATTATTACAGAGATTTAACACTTCTTATAGCTGAGGAGAACAATAGTATCAGATATCACAGTAATACATTGCTGTGTTATCTTTCTGTTTGGTAAGATGACACAATTGAATGAAAGCACTGCAGGCCTGGCTTACTCTAGCCTGTATGTGATTCTTGATCTGTGTCTGTGAAGCATGTGATTGTGAAGTTGTAATATTAATATAGCTTATGTATCTACTGAAGATATGTTATTGACTCCATTAAATATATATGACATGCTGAAGGTATTCAGTGTCTTCCAGTCTAACTCTCTCTGCTGTGTCTGGTCACTTACACATATGTGTTAAAAGATAAACAGAAATGAACAGTCATTTTAGTTCCATGAATATCATTGATACATTTTCTAAAGCTGAGCTATCAATGAGCATTACTTGAAGAATAAAAATATCTGATAGCATGGAATTCTGTATTAGGGATAAATGTCATATTTTGTGGCTAAAGGAGTATATCAGTTATATAATATATATGCATTTTATTTTATATTTTAGTTTTTGACATCGTGTTTTATTTTGGTAATTCCTACATTTTCTTTATATATGATTTTTACACCTATGCTACATTTTGCCTCATGGAATTACTAAAATAAAAGTTTCTGCTGTCGTGTGAACCATGGTTTAACATGGGTTCCCATGTTAATTTATAAAATTTATAATAGTTAATGTTCAGCAACCTAAGTGAACAGAGTTGAAAATTATAATACATTTATTTGTACACTCACAAATTCATGTTTTGCTATTACGTTTATCTTTAAAATTGTCTCCTTATCTGGATACGTTGGTTGTTAAAGTAAGGTAAAAAATCAGAAAAGATTCTAGTTCTCACTGAATATGCATTTCAATGGGGGCAAAATATTAATAATATGTAGCAATGTCAAGACTAATCAGTTTAAATCTGCAGTGTAGACTATGTTAGGAAGTAGACTCTATGGGTAAAATTACCAAGGCGGGCCTGAAAGGCTGCTTATAGGAAACACAGGAGAAAAGACAAATAGGACCATGACAGGTAAACAGGTTGAAGAACATTTCAACAAAACATAGCTGCACGTAAGGTATTTTGGAAGGATGTTAATCCAGCTTCATTATTGCAGTGGTTGATTAAACATCTTTCACAATGACTATATTTGAATGCAGAAATAGATCATTTGTGAAGTGATTTATGATGGTTATTATTGTTCTGCTGGTGTCAATGTTACCGCTGTTATCTTGAATGCTTTTTATGTTTATCTGCATATTACTATAAATCAGCAATTTCATTTCAGCTTCTTGTTCTGGACTGAATGGGGACAAATGCCCTGCATTGGAAAGGCTCGCTTAGATGGCTCAGAGAAGGTCGTCCTTGTAAGCATGGGGATAGCATGGCCAAATGGCATCTCCATTGACTATGAGGTCTGTTGGATTTCTTTTAAGTTTTCAAAATGTATTAACTGCCAACTTGCATTAGTCTATTTTTGGTGTTGCCTTATTTCCTTAATAAAGCAATCAAAAGCACATGGTAATATTGTATTTCAATCGATCTTCAGGAAAACAAATTGTACTGGTGTGATGCTCGCACAGACAAGATAGAAAGAATCGACCTTGAAACTGGAGGGAATCGCGAGGTGGTGCTGTCAGGGAGCAATGTGGATATGTTCTCAGTCGCAGTCTTTGGGGCTTACATCTACTGGTCTGACAGGTAATTTATTTTTTCATAAGTGTTTGAGTCTCAGCATGCTATTTTGGTGCCTGTTGCTTTACCCTTGCAGGATCAGCTGTTTCTTCTAAGGTCACAAAAGGATCTCATAAAGCCATACAGAGTACACAGACTAGCATGCTCGCTATTCTGGTTCTTTCTCTTCTGTTGGGCTACTTGTTGCCTTCAGCTTGAATAATCATTTGTTTTTAAAATTCCTGACCATGTGTATTCAACTTCCTTGCAGAGCACATGCCAATGGGTCTATCAGAAGGGGCCACAAGAATGATGCCACGGAGGTAGTAACCATGAGAACTGGCCTTGGAGTCAACCTGAAGGAGGTGAAAGTCTTCAACCGAGTCAGAGAAAAAGGTCAGCATGCTTAAAGGGATGTTTGATAAAGAGTTGGTGTTCCAGACCTGCGAGTTTCAGACTCAAGCAACTTTGTATCCAAAATATTCAAAGCCTGTGCTGAACTTGAAACAGCCTTTTTCTTGTCATTATTTCAACAATGACTGAATATAACCTTTACCTTGCTTTGAATATTGTAAGTAATCTTGAAAGACAGAAACTATCAGGAGAATATGAGTAGATTATGTGTACATATCCTCATTATATAATTTGCAT